GGAGGGGGCGGTGGTCCCCCGGGCACCACAGCATCCAACCCTTCCCTCATCCTGGGAGTCAGGACAGAGCTCATCTGGTCTGCCCAGGGGTGACAGGTGGGGACCGAGGGAGCAGAGTCACCCCAGCTCGGAGCTGACCCAGGGAGCGCCACAGGTCCCGGTGGCCAGAACGCAGGCATCCGTGCTTCCCAGAACAGCACGGTGGTTGGCGCCGGCGTCCCACACCCAGCTCTGCTCTTCACTAGTGAGGCAGCCTTAAGCAGGTTACTGAACCCCTCTGGGCCCCGGGCTCCCTACCCGGGCACAATCACAGAGCCATTTCACAGGGTGGCTGTGAGCGTCACGTGAAATGGTCACTATCAAGGGCTGGGCACCGTGACTGGCACGAGGCAAAGCCAGAGTGGTAGCCTTGTCCGCAGATGTCTCAGGTGCTGGCCACAGTCACTGCTGGCCTGTCAGAGACGCGTGAGGAGCCACCCCAGGCAGCCCTCGAACCTCCTACTCCCCAGAAGGTGCTCAAAATGATAGGTCAGCTGAACCCCCACCTTTCACAGCAGAGCAAACCAAGGCCCTGGGAGGACGGCATCTTGTCACAGGATTTCAACCCGGGTAGTGTGGCTCCAGAGGCCACAGCCTGAACCCCTACACTAACCTGCCTTTCATGAAAACGGCTGCAATAAACCAATGGCACGGGTCCTATTATGACCCCCAGTCTGCAGACGAAGAAACGAAGATCACAGGAAGGCTAAGTAATTCAGCCAAGGGCATGCAGCTCCAGAGGGGAGACCTGGGACCTGGACCGGACCCGGTGGTCAGGCCTGAAGCACATGGGCTCACCCACCCCGGGCAGCACCCGGCTTTGCCTGCCGCACCCAGTCCGGGACCTCCTCGGAGAACAGGCAGAGCCGCCTTGGTACCGCGTCACCCACAGAGCCCATCTTCCAGCCTGAGGACCACCCCTGGGGACACCCAGCCACTTCCCGGGCTTCAGCATGAGCCATCTCCTGGGCACCCCAGAATCTTGCAAGCTAAGTGTAAGTGCTCTTACCCCAGCTAGTACTTGGAGAAACTGAGGCACAAGGTCTTGCCCACAACTTGGGAGACAGGCCCAGGCCTCCTACTTTTCTCTCTTGATCAAGAAAATCAGCCAAAAGAAAATGCTTTTACCTCTGGGCCCCAGAATCTAGAACCTTCCATGAGTGTGCCCAGCCAGGAAGAAAAGTAGGAGAGGAATCATGATGACCGCTCCCACCCTGTGGCTGGTTCCGGCTGGCATCACTGTCCCTGTGGGGAATGTGGCCCAGCGGCAGCGGGGAGCACACAGTTGGATCGGCAGGGCCTGCTCCGCTGACCACCCCAGCCATGTAGCTCCCGACCAGGCCACCCGTAGTCAGGCCAGGCCAGGGGTGAGGACAGCAGAGCCTCGAGCTGCTTCCCCAGCCTTCCCTTCCCACCCTCCAGGCACAGGGCCAGCTTCCCAGCCTCCAGACAGGAGCCCCTTGTCCCTGCAGGATGAGCTGACCTTTAACTGGCCAAAAGGTCCCACTGGCTCCATCCCCCTGCCTGGGGGAGCGGATGAGGAGAGAGGAGGGAGGCCAGGGGTGGAGAAGAGTCCAGGGCTCCCTCACCCTCTCCTTCCTCCCCTTTCCCTCCTCTCACTGCTGTGGTCTCCCTCCGCCAGGCTGTCCACCCTGGCCTTCCACGGCCTCGCCTTCTTTCCCCTTCGTTATTTTACCTTTTGTTTGCCTGGCACTTTACTAAATGTTTTTACATTTATCATTGCATTGAATCCACACCAGGGAGAAAGACAGAGACATCGAAAATACCTTCAAATTGCCAAGTGTTCTTGTTAAAAATGCAAACATCTCCAGAACGATGAACAATTAGGCTGGCAGCCTTTGGTACCTCAGAGCTAATTCAGTTCATCCTCTCCCTTCTCCCCCACCACTCGGCACAGCAGATGGGGTGGGGGCAGGGAGGAGGTGTGCTCTGGGCTGCGCCTCAGCCCCTCAGCCCAGTGGGGTGTCTGGGCCCCCAGGAGGAAGGGGGAGGGAACCAAGGAGGCAAGAGGAGAAGCCATGGACTTGGCAGTATTGCCTGTAAACAACATGCTCTCATCAAGCCCTGAGTCCTAGCCCCACCGCTGCCCCCGTTCCACTCGCTCTGAAATCCATCACTCATCCTGGTGTCTCCAAGATCAGAGGGACGATCTTTTTTCGAGAAAAGACCTAAAAGAATTTCAGGGTGGATCAACAAATCCAAAATCCTGGAGAAGAAGCAGGAAGAGGTGGAGGGGGGTGCAGAGGGTCAGGTGCAGGTCGGGGGGAGCCAGGCCAGCAGGCCTGACTCCCTCTAACCCAGCTCTGCCACAGGGGCCCAGAGTCCCCAAGACAGCACAGCTGGGAGAAGCCCTGAGGCTGGGAGCTGGTGTCCTTGAAAGGACATATCCTGGGCCATGGGGGTAAACGGAGAGATCTTTCCTTCAAGGGGGTCTCAGTTATCCCCCAGTAAAAACAGGGGAATGGGCCCACAGGCCTGGGAATGCCTCCAGCTCTAACATGCTTCAGTCCCAGGACTGAATCAGAAAAACAAGTCTAAGCCAACCCCCAGAGAGGCATCTCAAGAGCTCCCGGGCTCCAGGCATGCCCCCTGTGGGAGGCCGCACCCTGCACCCCATCACGCACATTCGAATGAACCACACAAACAAATACGACCCATATATAACCCTCAAGGACAGAACTGAGTGGCAGTTGACCATCTGGCCTAATGTTAGGTTTTGCAGCTAAATTAAACACGCATTAATTTCGACTGCAGCTTGCTTTTCACATGGGGGAGCCTATCGCTTTCATGTCCAGCCCTCCAACGTTTTCGTTGGCTGCTGATGAAAGCCTGTAGATCCTGCACACTCTGTCTACATTCCTAGTGCCCTGAGCCCAGGGAACTCAGGCAGCGAGGCTGAAGAAATCTAACAGCAGGTTGAAAAGAAATCTAACAAGTGCAGCGTTTGCTGCACAGGAGTGATCTCAAGCTCCACTCAAGGCCACCTCCTCTGAGGAGCCCTCCCAGGCCACTCCAGCTCTCTAGAATCCCTCCCCTGCCAGTCTCAGAACACCTGCTGCTCCCCGTAGATGGGACTCATTTAGCAACAGCTATACGCCCTTGTGTGGCCCTTCGGCTGCATTCTTTAGCTCTGTCTTCATTATCTGTGCTCTGTCTTCTTTCCCCACTAAACTGTGAGCTCTCCAAGGTGCCTGGTCCTCTCCTCCGCCTCCTCTGTGAACCCAGAATGGCATTCACAGCCAACCAAGAGAGCAGAGGCCATGTGAGCCGGGGCAGTGCTGTTCGGAGAGGAGCTAGAAGCCACTGCTACCACCTACCCTCCATGCCGTCCTCTCGGGGGCCATTGAAGTTGTCATAGGAATCCCAGCGGATGAGGGGGTCCGAGGTGTTATAGTCCACGGACACACTCGGCCCGTTCTCCAGGTGTTCCATGCCTGAAAGGAATGGGCGGCGGGGGTGGGGATGGGGGGTGGGGGGGGTGGGAGCGAGGAGAAAGAAAAAAAAAAGTCAGCAGCTGGAAAAACAGAGGAAGTCAACAGCTTCCCCAGGGACGCTCCCTGAGGGACTTCTCATTTTCTTAACCAGAGTAGGGTGGGACCGGTGGCTTAAATTGGACAGAGAACCCAGGAGTCTGTTTTCTTGCATTCTTGAAAAGGCTCATACCAGGTCGCAGGGGTAAATCAGGACGAACACTGAGGAATGAAGTTTCCCCCCCCTCCCCCCGCCACCGCCTTCCCTGGGAGAAAGCTGGAGGGCCCTCCAGCTGGGTATCTGCCTCTTCCTTTTCTGTGTCCCTGGGGCCCCTGGGACAGTGCCAGGGGACCAGAAAGTCTGCCCCTGGAGTCAAGGGGAGTTGGAAGAGGCTCGTGATGAGCAGCACGGGGTCAAGGACATCAGGGAAATCACAGCTGTGGCACTGAGAAGACATGCGGTCATTCCAGCCATCCCCCGGCCTCCCACTTAAGATGTCCTCCACCTCAGGCAGAAATCCAAGGGGAGAACCAGTCTCTCCCACACACCCACAAGAAGGTGAAGACCGCACAAGCCCTGAGTCCTGCTTCTTCCCAGGGCAAGTCCCTTTCCTGACCTGGCAGTCCTTTCTAGAATCTACCTAGAGTCCCACTGTCTATAACCTAATTTCATCTCATCCTCGCTCTGTTCTCAGATAGGATGGAAAACAACTGGCCTTCACATATAACCAGTCGAAAGGCTTGATGGCTATTATTAAAGTGGCCTTCTCATCTTCAGTTTGAACCACCTCAGTCCTCATAAATACTTCTCATCCACTGAGTTCCTCTGAATGTCCCCTTAGCCACTCCCTCCGTCCACCATCGCCCTCAGTCTCTGAATATAATGGGATGGTGACCTAATGAGACCAGAGCAGTTGACACAACCCAGCACCTCTTGGTCAGCTTTTTTATTTTTATTCTCCAAAGATTAAGTCATCAGTTCACATTTAGCTGAGGGTCCACTTTGATACCCAGATCCTTTACTGCTGGCCCGCCTTGCAACCACAGTAACTTGACAGTTGTAGAGCAGATCAGTAGGAGAATGGCCGGACTGGAGAGAGGACAGTTTGGCATGGAGACAAGGGCATGGAAAAATGAATTCTAACAAGCTAATACCTTGAATTTTCTCTGGTCCATAAGAAAATACAAATTCCACTTTGCCATATTCTGGAAATCGATCATCTGAAAAGGAAGAAGGAAAGACAAAAAAGGGCAATTAATTCCCAAAAAGGGCTCAAATCTTAATCTTTCTAGAGAAGATTAACACAATGTGCATATAAGGGTTGATAATACCACATACATGTGTAATGAAATGAGCTTCTTTAGCCCTAAGTCCTACTCGCCCACTCATTTCCATTTCTTGTTCCACTAGTGGTTACCTCTAAGACTCAAAATAATAGACACTTTTTTTATGCCGCTATTTCTAGATATACCAATTTCAAGTTATCTCCACTGATTTACCACTATGAAGATGATTAATTTGGACCACTAATTTCACTCCTATCTCCCTTCTTATTAAATTATTATTATTATTATTACTTATTCCACTTGCCTTTGAAACTTTAAATCCTAAGCCAAACCTCTATTTCCTGATCTGTCCATTTTCAATCATGTCTCCTGACCCCCTTCCGTGTAAGAGGAGAAAATTTGTGCCACTCCCCCTTCCCCTGCCTTTACCAACTCCACTTTTACATTGTCTGTTACTCCTTTATTTTTCCTTGTTAAGACTAATAACATTTACATTCTGTTCTGTAATTATAATGGCATCTTCTGCTTCTGCCCTCCTGGCTTCAGTAGAGAGGAAGCTCATCACAGAAATATCCTTCTACTGCATGAGCCAGACTCTACTGGGGGAGTCAGGTTTCTCCTCCCCCGAGCCACAGCCCTGCTCTCTGCCCTTGGCCTGAGCCCAATCTGCACACAGATCACCATCCACTGCTTGTGGGAAGCAAAGTTACAGGAGGCATGGTGACCACTCCCTGGGGCACCCATCATGCCAGTGCACGTCTCCATCACTCCAGCGTCCCTTCAGAGTACCACACTTGTGTGTCTCTATCTCCCATGAGACTGTGAGTCCCCTGAAGGTAGGGCCTGACTTCTTTCTCTTTGTATCCCCAGGTCTAGCACATGCCTGGCACATATAGACACACAATGATTCTTGGTGGGTGGGTGGATAGATGGATGGATGGATGGATGGATGGATGGATGGATGGATGAGAGATAGACAGATGAGCAGATGAATGGATGGAAAGATTTGGATGAGTGAGTAGATGTATGGGTGGGTGGATGGATGGACAGATTTGGATAGATGGGTGGATTCGGATGGACGGTTAGATACATGAATGGATGGGTTTGGATAGATGGATGTGAAAGAGTGGATGGATGGATGGGTGAATGGATGGATGGATGGATGGATGAATGGATAGATGGATGGATTTGGATGGGTGGGTAGATGGATGGGTGGATGGATATGGATGGGTGGGTGAATAGTGAATGGATGGATTTGGACAAGTAGGTGAATGTGTGGGTGGATGAGTGAATGGGTAAATGGATGTGGATATCTCTCAGGTCTCAATGTGATGTAGACAAAACCTCAAATAGATAAAGAAGGGAGACACCTCCCTAACCAACTCTCTTTCCCTCAGAATATGGTTCCCCCTTCATGGCTGCCATAGCTCCCCCATTATTGCTCTTCTACCCTGTGGTAAATTTATTCCTTGTTAAGTCTGTCCCTCTACTCAGTGAGCCCACCTTTAAAGGCATCATCAAGGTCTTCCTTCCCAAAAACAACCCCTAGGTCATGGATGGCACAGGTGTGGAACTGCACACGGAAGATGACATCTCGGGCTGGGCTCCGAAACTTCTTGTGGTAGCACTTCAGCTGGGTGGGAAAGAGAGCAGAGCCCATCAGGAGACTGAGGATGGGAAACTGGGTCTCAGGGACCATCCTTATTAGCTCCATGACTGAGACCCCAGGGCTCACCCAAACCCTGTGAAGGAAAGGTCACCAATATCAGACAGGATCTCAGAACTATCTGGGGAAATTTCTCGAAAGCAGAAACTTAAATTACACTAGAAAGTGTAAACTTAAATTACAGGAGGAAAGACTGAAGTTAGAATTGAAGGAGTCATTGTCACCACAGGAAGGTGGCTCACACTGAGGTATTTCCCTGGACATATTCCAGAATGAATGACAAGCACAGGAGAAGAGATGTCCAACTCTGAGGCAGAAAGCACAAGGACTACTGGAGGCTGAAAGCCTTTGCAGGAGCCCTGACAGCCTATGGCCCCAAGGCTGGGGGCCCATGAAGAGTGAGGATCTTATCCGAAGAGGCAGGAGGGGAGCAGGAAGAGAGAAGAAAGGAGAAAAAATAAACAGGGAGGAGGGGGCTCGAGACAGAGGGGCAGCACTCACCAAGATGTCTCCCTTCAAGAGCAGGCCTGGCTCGATGGTGATGCAGATGCTGGTCTGGCTGTCTCCTTGGACGTTGCTATGGGAGAAAGATGAGCGGAGAGAAAAGGAGCCGCTGAGGGGACGGCTGGCACGCTGGTTCCCTACTGCTCGCCTGCCGGAGGGCTCCTGGGGAGGCGCGCCGCCTCTGTCCCTCAGCCCTGTGCCAGGCGAGACCCTCCTAGAAGAGGTCCTGGCCCATCCCCCCCACCCTTGTCCCTGGTCCTCGGCCTCAGGCCTCAGGCACCCCCGGCCTCTCATGCCTGTGGAATACCTACTAGATGCCAGATGTGTAGACAGGCTGCATGGCCTGGTAGATCCGGAGAAACGGCCGACACCCTGTAAGGGAGGGGGATGTTAGCTAATACAGCGGGGACGGTGCAGGGGTTGGGGAGAAGGTGAAAGAAGGAAGGGCTGGGAGAGGAGAGGAAGGAAGGGGAAGAAGGAAAAGAAGAAGGAGAAAATGGGAAGAGAAAGGAGGAAGACATACTAACTTTCCACTTGAGAGGCATTTTTAAGTTTATAAAAAACATGATCACGTCCGACATCATGTGCCAACAGGCACTGCCAGTGTCTAACCCATGAACAGACTGAGGCTCAAAGAAAGCTCAGGAAGTCATGCAGTCAGGACACCAATCCAAGCATACATTTCTACCCCCACCCCCACCCCCACCCCAACCCACCCTTGCTGCCAGGCTGCCTCTTAAGAAAAGAAGATGGGAGACAGGAGGGGAGGGAAGCCAGAGGGCTTGGGCAGGTACCTCCTTTAGACTCGAAGTTGGGGATGCCGTGCATAATCACATGGTGCAGAAACAAGGGCTTGTTGTTCATTTTGATGGAGCCAGAGAGCAGACCACTGAAGTAGTGCACATACCTGGGGCAGGGAGAGGGGCAACTTCAGGCAGGGGGCCTGCCCTAGAGCAGAGCCATCCTGGTCTCTTTTCTGGACCCACCTAGCTCTCCACCACCAGCACCCTCCTAAACCTCCTGGAGGCTGGGGTCTTCTCCCCAACACAGTCCTTTCTTGCTGCCTGGAGCCCCAGGTAGAGAGGACAAGCGGGTACCAGTCTAGCAGGAGCGGAGTCGAGCCCATACTCTGCTTTGGGGGTTCTCTGGCGCCCCCTGGTGGTCAAAATGGACATCTCTTTCCAGCTTCACTCCCAGCCCAAAAATCAGCTGGACCAAAATTACCCCCACATGTCCCTGATGGGCATCGTTTAGCTGCTCACCACTGCACAAGGCAGGCTGATCCACCACCAGACAGCTCCAACACCTTAAACCTAGCTTAAGCCAAGCTCATGCTTATAACCACAGGCCCCAGTTCTGCCCCCACAGATGCCCTAGCCACATGACAGTCCAGCAAACCGTAAGAGCTTAACAATTACAGTCCTGCACTTCCTTATACCACATGGAAGTGTATGAAATTCCTCTGGATCTGGTATTGAAAGACATATAGCATCTACTATGTATTCCTATCCCTAGGGTCAACATTCCCCAGTTCTTTCTGGATCTTGTTGGAAGAATGCAAGAATTAACCCATCTCCACTCCTCCTAGGAGAGAGGGGAAATTAGGCCCAGAAGGGTTGCTGACACATGGTAAAAACACACAAAGGCGGGGGTGGGTGGGGAGAGAAGGAATGCTGTCTGAACTCCAGTGCACCTGCCAGAAAGAGAGGCCCGTTCTTTTGGCATGGATTGGTCGGTGTGTCTTCCTTTTCTGAATGGTGAGCTGGGTCAGCCACACCAGTCACAATGAACCCTGAGACTCTGTGAGGCAAGGGGGCTCTCTGTGGCTGGTGGAACCAGAACCTACATGACCATGACAATGGTCCCCTCCTATCTCTTGGCTCCTTGGCCCACCTCCAGGCTTGTGGGCCTCTGTCCCTGGGCCCAGGTGGGGCCACCTCAGACTACCCAAGCAAGATAATCTGATGGGCAGCACCAGTTCCTATTCAGCCCCTGCCCAGCCCCCAGCCCCATTACTCAAACCGGAAACCTGGAATGGTGGTTCCTATCAGGCCTCTCAATCGTGCCAACAGGATGTGTCTGTGTGCTGGGGACAATGAGCCCGGGGGTGGGGTGACAATGAATGGAGCAGTTGCAGGCAAAGGCCCTCCCTCCTTCTCTCTCTGCCCTCCTCTCTTCCAACTGCTCCAGTCCCGGTGAACGACACTGCCCAGAAGGCGGGAAAGTGGTAACAAACATATAAGGAGGCCAATAGCTGCATGTTCACACACGGGCACGGACAGAATCACCCACCCATAAGCAGATGCAGATGCAGATTTAAGCTACAAGGCAGACAGATAAGCATACACCGACTGCGTGCCGTGTGGGCACACGCGGTGCGCTGCGGAGCCCCTGAACACCCCTACTGCCGAGCCCGGGCTCCAGGCGTTCAGCTGCAGGGGTGTGGCTGCTCTGCTCACTCTCTCCCAGCCACACTGCGCCATCATAACATCACACTCATCTATTTGCCCCCTTTATCCTTCAAGGTCAGACTCGTGGCCAAGGCCACCAGCCATATGTGGAAAGCCAGGGACTGACAAGTGGGTACTTGAATGACCATTCTTTCCTCCCTGGGAGGGTTCTCATTGATCCACAGCTGCTGCATCTGGAAGCCCCAGAATTCTCTGTGCATAGACACATCCTGTTTCTGATCGCTGATCCAGAGCGTGTCTACTGGGTGTCCCGTGTCCATCACAAGACACTGGGTGACCTGAGGACTCATTGCTGCTTGGGCTTCCCGCTACAATGGGAGAAACAGTCCCCAGAGGGGCCGGCGCCCTTCTAACAAGGCAAGAAAGATGGGGGTGATGGGGAATAAGATGGGGCACCTCAGCAGGGAGAGGTAAGGGGGTGCTGCTTGCCTGATCAGTGTTCTGAGGGGCTAGAAAAGTCAGTGGGATGCTCTGGCCTCTGGGCCAGTGTACTTGCTGCTCCTTCTGCCTGGTGACCCCAGCCCTGCACTCAGATGCTTCCTTCTTCCTCCCACAGCCTGCCCCGCATGTCACCTTCTCAGGAAGTTCGGCGCTTGTGCCCACCCCATCCCTCTCTAGCCCATCATATTCTGTTTGGGTTTTGTTCCCCCTCCAAGTACTTCTCACAAACTGAAAGTTCCCTGATGGCTCAAGTCCTTGGGAAACTCCACAAAGACCCTGCTCAGAGGGCCACACAGCTCTGGCCACACAGGGGCAAGGGCCCCATTCCAATCTCCATCTCTCCCCTCGGAGCCTGGGCTTCTGACTCGCACTCACCTGCGGCTTCCCCATGGCCCACCAGCCCTGGTTTTATCTGTGCTCTCTCAGCCATCACTAAACAGCACGTTATCCACAGGGCAGAGGCCAGGGCCAGCCCTCACGACTGTGGGCAGCACAACCCTGGAAGCCCTGCCCTGGCCTGACTTACAGGCCCCCAAGTACATTCTAGTTCTGTTAATACTCGCTATGGATCCTGGCCATGTTGAGTCCCCTCCCTAGCTTCAGGCTTCTCATCTGTAAAATGGGGGTGCCTTGTATCATCATACAGTAGCTCATCATTCTTCAGGGCTGGCCTCAAATCCACCACCTGTGACAGGTGCTCCCTGACCCCCTTCATTAAATAGCCCCAATCTCCTCTACCAGCTCTATGCCACTCAGTTCTCTTTCTTTCCTAGCACTAACCACTGCCTGAAAGTGCCCTGTTGGTCTATTTACCTGTGCGATGCCCACCTTTCTAATTGGAATATCAGCTCACTGCTGGCAAAGCACTTTGCCCTGGTCAACTAGATACCCCCAGCACCTGGAATGTAGTCGAGCCATAAAACTTGTCCAATGAATCAGTGGGTCCTCTCTGCCCTGCTTCCTCCCTGGGCTGCTGTGGACTCCCATGAGACCACGTGCTTGAGACCCCTTAGGAAAATTTGTAAAGCTCTCCCAGCAGAAGGTGACCCTTATGCTAAGAATCTGTGACCTCTCCGGGGCAGGTGGCAATGACAGCGGCCCCCTACAGGCTCCCCTAAGGCCGGAGGCAGTCAGTCCCGCTGCCAGGACCAACATGGCACTTCCTTCTTATACAAGTTGCCTTCTCACACCCAAACCAGTGCATCCCCCATCAGGGGCCCCACTGCTCTCCAGCACTGGCCTCAGGAGCCAGCAGCCATGCCCATCTGTGGGCACACACAGCCGCCCGCCGGCTTACCCATGTCCCTGCGCTTACAGCACTCCGGGCTGGCACCTGAATAAGCATGCTCAGTACCTCCCCTAGGCATAGCTGTTCCACCCTGTGTAGGTGCCTGAGGCTAGTCCCAAAGACAGTGCATGCACGTGCACACACGCACACACACACACACGTGTGTATGCACTGGCAGCGAGCCCTGGAGACCCACCTTCTCTGAGACGGCTGACCAATGGGCACAATCTTATCCTCATAGAATCGTTTCATTGCAAACCGGTCCAGGGCCTGGTCAGCGCTGCAGGGAGACACACAGGTGGTCAGAGGAGCCAACTCCCTTGTCTCCCTACCCCTGCTCCTCCAGACCTGTAGAGCCCTCCAGCCACACCACGCTGAGAAGCTTTCAGGAAAAGAGTGCTCCAGCATCCCTACATCCCATATGGGGGAGCCAGACTGGCTGGCCTCCCAATTCCAAGTCTGCCACTTACTTATTAGCCCCGTGCCTTGAGGCAGGTTAATCTTTCTGAACCTGACTTTCCTTTCCTGTCAAATAAGATTGATATGCACCTTCCTTGAAGGTCGTTATAGCAATTAAGTGAAATAACATGCATAAAGAGCTTAGCAAATGTCGCACACAGTAGGTGCACAGGAAATGTTCCCCATTAAGGAAAGATTAAGCTGGGTTGAGATTCTTACAGTCACAAAACCACCGTCTAAGCCCTCCACAGAACATTCTATCTGTCTGCAAAGAGATCATTTTGAAAAGAAGAGACAGATGATATAGCCCCCCTGTTCTTGACTCTTTAACAACATCCCATTCCAGGCCCCAAAGGCCTTATCAAGGCCCACAAGGATGAGATAACTTCTAGATGGTTCTGCCAGGCCCAGATCTGATCCAACATTTCCTTCTGACTTCCTCACCTGCTCACTCAGGAAAAAAGGAGGCTGGTTGCCAAGGAAAAGGGGTCCTGAGAGAGTGGCTGGGTGGGGTGTCCGTGGATGGCCTCAGGGCTGCTCCCACCAGTGCCCCCAGTAGAGGACTCTCCTTGTTCCTGCCCTCCGTGCACAGCCACCTGCCTCAGAGCCATGGGCAGATCCCTCTCCTTTCTGTGGGCCCCTCCACCCCACCCCGTCATTATTCTCCCAGCCAATGAAGGGAGAGGCCACGGAGGGACGGGCCCAGGGGGTTCCTGCTGTCAATATTCAGAGAACGAGAGGCTCTTACCTGGCAGAAATGTTGCTGTAGTGCATGTAAGCTGCTATGACAACGCCTATCCTGCCTCGGTTTCCCTAAAAGAACCCCAAAGACAAAACCTTTATTATAACCCAGAACCCATCCAGAAGCCGGGAGAAAAAAGGGAGCAGTAGCTGGTGAGAGGGGTGTGGTTCAAAGGAGGGAGTGAGATGCAAGGGAGGGGAGCAGGTCGGGCTGAGTCTCGAAGAGAAGACACGCAGTTGATCATCTGCCACACCTGAGCGCCCCACAAGCTCATGACCCCCATTTCTCAGGTGCCCCCAGGACAGGATCTACCATCCCCTAGAAAGGCGAATACACATGGACTTGCACGCTCAGAATCCAATGATACAGGCAGGCACATATGTCCATCCGAGGACACGTCCATGCATGTGTGCATGTGCTCACATACGCACACGTGCGTACACGCACACACACTCACACACAGGCACCCTAAGGACCCTGCTCTGACCTTATTGTGTAGAACAACGACGTTGTGAGGGTCTGCATTGAGCCAAGTGTCCATGGCCTTGCAGACGCTGCAGATCTTCTCCAGGGCTGGGGTGTGAAGGTCAGGCCAGCCAAATTCCAGTACCTGTGGTCAAAGCCATGAGTAAGAAGTGTCAGGAGCCCCGGAGAGCCCACCAGGGCAGCGGGAGCCGCGCATACACCACGTGCTGGCCCCAGGGCACCGGCCTCCAGCCAGCCTTGCTTCCTGCCCCGCCTAGCAACCCAGAGTGGGGGCAACACTGTGGACCAGAGACCCTGGGCCCAAGTGTCTGCTCTCACACTGCCTTGTTGTGGGGCCTCGGGCAAGTCATGGCCCATGTCCCGGCCTCAGTTTCCTCATGTGCATGTAAAACAAAGGCTTGGAGTCAATGACCGCAAGGTCCCTTCCACATGACTCTGACCTCAAAATGTGCTGAGCCCCCTCTGCCAGCTTTTCCCCCAAGTTCTCCTCCCACAGACGACCCCAACGCCTGGATCAGGGCCAAAGAGGAAAAATGAAGAGGCTCCAGACATTCACAGGTCTTTTCCAGGCCCTGACACGCAAGCCATTGATTTTTCAGGCCGACCAAGGGAAGCCTGGAGGGGACAGAGAGCAGATCTGAATGGTCATCTTCAGGCTCCTCAAAACTTTTCTCACCTCATTGATCATTAAACTAAAAGAGAAATGCCTGGAAGAGCCCAGAGAGCACATCTAATCCAGGCCATCTACTTTCAGAGGGGCAAACTGAGGCCCAGAGAACTGTCACCTGCCCAGGGTCCCACAGCAACAGACACAGAATCTGGGAGGCAGAGCAGATATCCACGCAAAGCCTGGCACTCAGCCCGCCGAGCGAGCAAGTGAAAACCAGCCATTGGCAATTCCCAGTCAGTTTAAATCCAAAATGTTTTTCAATATGACTAAAACTTTCACAGCTCCAGCCTCACCCCAGAGATGCTATATGCACCCCAGGGGGTAGACCTGGGTGGGAAATTGCTGCATCCAGCTTTGCTGTCTTCAATTTGTATCATAGAAACCGTAAATACGGTATTTTCTGTGTCCAAATGGAAGCTGGCATAGAAACAGAATAGGCTTTGCAAACTGTCTCAGCCCTTCCCCCCCCGCCGCCCGAGTCTGAAGTAGGGACCACAGGAGAGGGAGCCTAGCTATTCTCCTTCTCTTCCAGGCAGTGGGAAGCCCCCACCCCTAATTCACATCAGCTCACCTTGGTGTGGAGCTTTGTGATGTCAGGCCTCCGCTCAGAGAGATTGAAAAGCTAGAAGGGGGAAAAAGAAGAGATCATGAGATGGTGCTAGCTGGCTGGCTGTCCATCTGTCTCTCTGTCTCTCTTTCCTTGCCTTTGCACTCCTCCCAACCACCCAGTGAAAATTCTATCCATCCCTAAGCTTACAGTGGAGTCCCATCAGACCCACACATTGACCAACAGGCATTCAACTATAGGTTCTCAGGATAAAGAGGAGAGAGGGGGATCCTGGGTGGCTCAGTCATTTAAGCATCTGACTCTGTCTCAGGTCATTATCTCTCAGTCCATGACTTTCAGCCCCATGGCAGGCTCTGTACTGACAGTTCAGATTCTGTGTCTCCCTCTCTGTCTACCCTCCCCCACTCTTACTCTGTCTCTCTCAAAAATAAATAATAAAAACATTAACAAAAAAGTTAAAGACGAGGAGAGAGAAGTACAAAGACATTCAGCCCCAACCCTCAGTGAGCAGACAGACCCCCAAGATGTTGTTTCAAGATATTCAAGCTGAAGATGAGAAGGGGATGCAGCCTGTCTCGGGTCCCACATGTCACCCATTCACACTGGACGGGAATCCGGTGGTGTTACATGATAAGTGTTTGGCCATCTCTGGTTTCCACTTCACGTGTCAACTTTTGAACCTCATGCCTCTGAAAAAGCACCAGCTCTGTGGTCGGACGCCCTCCAGAGTCTGCAAATCACCCTGAGTGGGGCCCCTCAGACCCTTGGCGCCCCTCTCCCAGCAGATACCCCGACACCAAACCACATCCCATAAGACCCCCCCAGTCCCTGGAATTCCTGTCTCCACCTCCACCTCATTGCCCAGGAAACTCTAAGAAAACTGTGCTGTCCCCTGCCCAGGAAAGCGGACCACACAGCCTGCAATGGGCAAGACGGAGGGAGGGTCGCATGGCAGTGAGACCCACAGAATCCTAGACTCCTGACACTGGGAATGATCCCAGATGGCTTCGAGTCCATTCTTGGACCCTGTAACCGCACACACTTTACTATATTAACAACAGCTACCACTCGAGTGTCCCCAACCTGCCAGCCCAATGCTGAGGACTTTACACCTAGCAGCTGGCTTAGTTCTCTCAACAACCCTAAGAGGTAGGTGGTACAATCAGATCCATTTTACAGATGTAGAACTTAAGGTTTAGTGAGACGAGTGGCCATGGTCAGACAGTAAGAGCACTGCCAGCATTCAAACCCAGGACTCTCTGATGTCTGAAGCTGGGCTCTCAACACTGCCCAACACAGCTGATGGACAGTTGTCTGTGGTGGGTTCCACAGCACCCCACAAAAATTCATATCCACCTGGAACGTGACCTTATTTAGAAATAGGGCCTCTGCTGATGTAAGTAGTTAAGGATCTCAAGATGAGATCATTCTGGATTTAGGGCGGGCCCTGGGTCCGATGCCTGGTTTCCTTGTAAGAGGAGAAGAGGACCCACAGAGAGATACAGGAAAGAAGGAAGGCCGTGTGAGGACAGAGGCAGAGACTGGGGTGATGCAGTGGGAAGCCAAGGTCACTAAGGATCGCTGGGAGACACTGGGAACCAGGAAGGGGAAAGCAGGATTCCCCATAGAGCCTGCAGACAGAGCATGGCCTGGCCAACACCTCGATTTGGACTTCCAGCCTCCAGAACCGTGAGAAAATTCGTTTTGTTGTTGCAAGACGCCAAGTTGGTGGCAATCTGTCACAGCAGCCCCAGGGACCTAACACAGCCTCTGACACGGGACTCTGCTCACACATCACGGCGGCCCCTTGTGGCTGCACGGTCTGTTCGTCTGTTCGGCAGGGGCAACCCAACTCCACAAGCACCTCCTTGTAGAACGGAGCCCTCCCCTGGGGCCAAGGTGAGTGCCAATCCCCTGCGCCGGCCCTCTGCCACTAGGGGAGAGCCCCACCGGGGCCCTCGTCCACACTCGCGATGTGCTCCTGGGCCAGGCACCATCCCCGTGACAGCAACACAAGGTCCCTTAGGCTGCGCACTGCCACAACCCTGGCGTCAGACTTCTCAAGGCACGGGCGGTGTGCCAGCTCCACCGCCTCCTGACACTGTGACCGCAGGCAAACACCGCACCTCTTTGTGCTCTGGCAAAACCTGCTTTCTTGCACTGCCATGAAGTTAAGTATGTGGAAAGCAGACAGAACAGGGCCTGCCTCACAGGGAGCGCTCGATAACACAAATTCTTGTTAGGTTCTCCTCCTGCTCAACACCCACATATACACACAGGCACACACAGACCCACACATGCCCATGTGTACACATACATACACTCATGCACACATGCACAGGCATGCCCGTGTGTACATGCATGTGTGTGCACACACGCCCATGGGTACATATACATACACTCATGCACACACGGGCATACACATGGATGCCCTTGTGTACACATACATGCACTCATGCACACACGCACACATGCCCATGTGTACATATACACACACTCATGCACACAGGCACACACAGGCACATGCATGCCCATGTATACATGCATATGTGCACGTACACGTGTCCGTGTGAACATATACATATAGTCATGTGCGCGCGCACATGCACACGGGCACATATGTGCACATGCATGCCCATGTGTACATATCCATATACTTGTGTGCGCACGCATGCACACGGGCACACACATGCACACGCATGCCTAGGTGTACATATATATACATTCATGCCCACGTGCACATGGGCACACATGCACACACATGCCTGTGTGTGCATATACATACATTCATGTGCATGCGCACATGCACACGGGCATGCACATGCACACATGTGTACATATACATACACTCATGCACATGGGCACATACATGCACACGCATGCCCGTGTGTACACATATATACACTCAAGCACATGCACATAGGCACACACATGCACACACATGCCTATCTGTACATATACACACTCATGCGCATATGCACGCACACGGATACACACTCGTGAGCACATGCACGCACACGGGCACATGTGGCTTGGCTCCAGATGCCACATTCCAGCCGCAGACACACTCCTTCCAGTAAAGCTGGGCTGGAGGATAAGTGAAGACTCAGGCCATGAGCAAGGCAAAGAGCTGGCCCAGGGCGGGTGAGCAGGGGCACCAGCAGCAAGGACGGGGGTGGGGGACATGTACCAGGCCCCATCCTCACCAGGTAGCTGCCTCCATGTTTGGACTTGAGCATCTGGGCCACCTCTCGGAGGTTGCTCCGGAAGTTCTCCTCGTTGGCTGTGCTGGGGAAGGAGACGGCGATGATCCTCTCTGTGACATACACCAGGTCCAGCTCACAGCTGTCCTCTGTGGTCCGGCTCACACTCATGTTTCTGGAGAGACAGGAGGCAGAAGGGGGTGCGGATCAGAACCCTGCTCCTCAGGGCAAGGTTTGGGATCTGTACCCCCTACACACCATCAGTGGTCCATAATTCCAACCCCGGAGGCTTGGCTGTCCCCTGACCCAGCGCCAAGGCCAGAGGCCTCCCCTGGCAAAGCCAGTGCAGCCAGCAAGGCCAGGCTGGGAGCACAGGGAGAAGGGAGCTGGGCAGGGGCTGGCAAGGGTCTCGGGCCATTTCAAAGCCAAACAGTGACGACAGCAACCCTAGGTGCCCATCAATCCTGTTGGTACTGCCTTCAACCTGTAATCCCAGAGGTCAGGGTCAGGATCAGAACATGCCAGGAGCCCAGGAGTCCAGCTCGGCCTTCCCACATGCTGTGGCCACCTGGTCTGGCGCAAGTCTTCCAGAGGATTCTGGGACGGATCCGGAATAGGAAGGAGAGCAGTGGGTGGAAGCCAAGCATTCTGCGGCCCTCCCTTTGCTCCCAAGCTGGGGGGAAGGGGCGCAGGGACTTCTCAGGGGAAAGGGCAGCTCAGGTGACAAGCTCACCTGGGCTCCAGTAAGCCAGACCACAGCGCACATTCCAGCCCTCCCCAGAGGCAGGCCAGCTCCTGCCCTTTGTTCCCTGGCTCTCCCCCACCTCTGGCTGCTCCCACCGCCCACAAGGGCTATTTCTTGGCAGTGGCCTCCGTGACTTCTAAGAGGGTGATGAGCCTCTGCTGCTGCGGTGGTAGGTGGCCACCTGAGCTCCTAAAAGAAGCGAGGAGCCCCCGGGCTAGGCACTGGGTGAGGGGAGGTGGGTCTCACTCCTTTATACCTCATTCAGCTTCTCTTCCAGCAGGAGGGCCCAGGGTGGCCCCAAGAGGGCTGGCAGGAAGGGGATATGGGTCTCAGGACACTGAAATTCCATTCTGAGGCCTACCTGTGGCTTCTGGGGGCAACTTATACCCTCCCTGTCACCATACCTTCTTACCCTGTCACCAACTCCCTACTGCCTCCCTTCCTCTTTCTATCCAAGGCGGGCAACACTCCCATTTCCTTCTGAGAAACTTTCACTACAGCAGGGTCAAGGTGAGACTGGAGGGGCAGCAGAGAAATACCACCAGCGTATTTCAAAGAGACAGGGTGGCATTGGCAGAATCCAGATGTCCACTAGGGTTAACTCTGAACCCAACTGTGCACATGGGGCTTGGAGGTAGGGAGGCCAAGCGCAAGGTGTGGCTTCTCCACGGCAGCAAGGACAGGAGCCAAGTGGCAGAGGGGCCAGTGGGCTGTGGTAAGGAGACCAGTTTGAATTTGACCTCTGAGCTGGGCCATTCTTTGTCCCTAAGATAAGGTTCTCACTGCAGCCTTTGGGGGCGGGGATGGGGGTCCAAGGCAGAACAGTGCCACCGCCTGGACAACTTCAGCATCGCACCCTGCACCCTCACCCCAAGGTGGTTCTCAGCTGTAAGGGAAGGACAGGATTCTCTAAGGGGCCGCTCAGGTCTGCAGGCAGCTGGCACTGGCAGCTTTAGCTACATACCAGCGCTCCCTGGCTGGGCTCCACTTCCCCGGAGCCAGATTCTCACTTATCTCAGGAGCCTCAGATGTGGAGGTGAGGCAGAGAGGGAAGGGCCCAAGCCAAAAAACCACAGGACCTGGACACAGACTCCAGATCAGCAAGGCACCGAGTCCTTGTGCATCCCCTTCCCCAGCCCCTGCCAGTCCAGCCAGAGAGAGAAGTGTCCTTTCATAAATGACCCTCCAACATCAAAAACCCCTGCCCACGATGAGGACTTGGGTCTAGCACAACCTTGATGCCCACCAGTCCCGAACCACACCCAGGCTTTGCCTCCTGTTGGATGCGTGACCTTTAACAAGTCACCGCACCTCCCTGAGACTCGGTTTCCCCATGTGCCAAATGGGAATAGAATACTTACCTTGCAGGGTTGTTGCCAAGACTAGATGAGATCGTGCAGGGACATTAAAAAAAAAAAAATCCAGCTCAAGGCCTGGCTTCGAGCTAGAACTCAAAACATGGTCATTTCCAAGGGTCTGCAGCTACCCGCATCCTCTCTCGGTGGCTTGCCCATCTGCCCATGCTCCCTACCTGTAGCTTTATGACTTCGGTCTCAGACACCCAAGGGCATGACTTCCTGGAAAGACCCACAGTGACCTCACAGCGGCACCTCACCCCTCGCCCCCTGCCCCACACACAGGCCAGGCATACCTGATGGGCTGGGGATGAGGCTGGACACTCGGGGTGACTCTGCTGGAGCCCTGGGACAGAGGAAGGAGAAGCGGCATTAGGAAGGAGGCCAGGGGAGAGCTGCCCATGGGAGCAGTGGCCAAACACAGATGCTCCTCTCACCTTGCCAACATTCCAGCCCAGGCACCCTAACATCCGGGCAACACAGCGACCTAACGCCAACAGCAGTCAATGCCAATTCCTTGTGAGTGTGCGCGCAAGCCCCCAGAGGGCCCAGGGAAGGAAGAAACCCCAAGTACTGAGAAATGTCCAGGCTGGTGCCGTCTGCACTGAGTACACGCTCAATAAAACAGTTACTAAATGGATGGAAACACACTTCATCTTGATTCACTGGACGTCGTAACAGTAACCCCCAGCGGAGAACACCGACCGCAAGCATGACAGAAGGAAAGACTGGTGACAGCAGCCTCTGCCCAGCTCTGAACCTTTGCCCCCTGACCACCAGCATCCCACACTCCTCCCCTTCAAAGCAGCCATTTGAGCAGAAGTTGTGGGTCGAGAGCAGTGAGGGGTGGCGTGTACCGACCAGGACCAGTGCTGGGTGGCCAGTCATCCTCCTGAGGACCCACCGTCCATCGTCTGTTACCCCCTCACCCACTCTCATCTCTAGGGCTGTCAACTTGCACAAATTTAGGCAAACAGACCCAAGTTCGGGTCCCCAACAGCCCAAGACAACCCAATGGCACAGTGATAAAAGCTCATGGTCAAGGTCCTGCAACATCCTGCTGGGCGACCTTGCGACTTAGCGCTCAGGGTCTCTGTATCATCACATGTAAGATGGGGCCATCCTTATGGAGCTGTCTGAAGAGTAAAAGAACGCATGTGTATGAAGCACGTCTATATTGTTACTGTTATTACATCTAATACAATTAAAAGGGTAGTTATGCGTACAACCCACATTCATCTCTATACAAAATCGGAGGCCTGCATCACCTCTACCACCGTCTGCCACCCATTCTGTCAGCCACCTCACATGATGCAAAATTGAACGCCCAACTTCGAGATTCCTGGGCCCAGCCAGAGCTCTCCAAGCCCATCGGCACCTTCCACACATCCCTGTGCCTCCCCGAAGCTAGCCTTTCCCCACCACCAAGTTGCAACCACCTCTCCGAGGAGAAAGGACCACAGTCTGCCAGGGAGAGGAGAAACTGAGGCACAGTGACTCACCCCCGGGACAACGACTGGCAGGATTCACCCTCAGACTTTGGATTTAACCACTGGGGCCCTGAGGAGAGGAGCACGTGGGGAAGCCTGAAGCCGGCAGGGCCCGAAGTCAGGGCAGCCCCGCGAAGAGAAGGACTCTCTATGCAGCCACCTGTGAGGAGGCTGCACCCCAAGCACCCCCTGCATGGGCTACAGCCCAGCTCTGAACTACCCAGCCTCTGAGGCAGCAGCAGGAGAAACAGCCAAGCTGGGCTGTCGGGGAGGAAAGTGTCTGTCCCCCTCCACAGACCCCTGGCCATGACAACTTGGGTTTGCATGAGTCAGGCATGGGGGAGTAGGGGGTGGTAGGAGGGATCGTGTCTGGTTTTCAAGCCCCAAACCAGGCTGTTCCAAAACTACCCACCCAGAGGAACACAGAGACCCAACACTTCATCCGTCTTGATTTCACTGGGCCCTGAAGAGGAGCCTCTGGACGGCCCCAGGCCTCAGGCCCTGCTCCAGGCCCCGGGGCCACCCTGCTATAAATAGCCCCTTGGGTTTCAGCTGTTGCTGATCCACAGCCACTTTGGAGGAGGCCACCACAGCTGCCTCGCACAACGGGAAGCCACAGCTGTAGCCGAGGCCCACGGTGTGGTCAGGGCCACAGGTCCAGGCCCACGGAGCTGCAGGGAGACAACGTGATGCCGAGACCAGCATGGCGCTGGGGCTGGGGAGCCGAGGGGAGCCGGCAGCCTCCTTGGGCGCAGGGGTGAAAAGGAAGAACAGGCCAGGAGAGCCGGATCCCGTTTCTCCACCCCCCCTCCCAGCATTACAACACTCCACATTCCTTAACCTCCCCACCCCAAAAAAGCCCAGGAAGATAAATAAAAACTTGGCCCCAACAGCGTCTGGCCATGTCGCCTCCAGAGGGGATAAGACAAAGTCCAAGCCGGCTCCGCTCTGCCAGGCTGGCCGGGAAAGGGGCGGCAGGGGAGGAAGCTGCCCTGGACCGTGACCCCACCTGATGACAGGGACGGGAACAGCTGGATGGTCATCCCCTGTTGAATCACTGGGCTGTCCTCTAGCTGACGGGGCTTCCTGTTTTCTGCAGAGTTTGAGGACATGTGACACTCGCTGGCAGAAGGCAGACACACGCGGGTGACAAGCCTGAGTCGAGTGGACATGGAGAATGGCACACAGGTGTGGGGGCAAGGGGGTGAGCGGGCACGGCCTAAGACTCCAGAACACACAGGTGACCTCACCCATGAGGCCAGGGATGGGCGCCCCCCCGATGCACGCCTCAGCCCCCAGGCCCTCCCCCAAGAGGCTGGCGGCCAGTGGAGAGATCACTCATCTCTGCTCTCTGTCATTGGGCTCGTCTCCTCATTCCGAAAACCCTCACTGAGAGCCACCCGCTGTGTCCCAGGCACCGGGGACCAGAGGAGCCCAAATCCCTGACCTCAGAGAGCTTATAGTGGAGGAGGGGAGACATTCTTCAAGAACAGACATGAGAAGCCGCTGCCGGGTCTCACTGGCCAATCTGTAAAATGGGTACAACACCATGTTCATGCAATCTTATGTGATTCACCTGTTCCACCTAAAGCCCCCAGGGGAAACTTCCAGAGGCTTTTACAAAGAGTACTACAAAGATATTATTTGAAAAAGAAAAATGAGCTTGCTGTCAGCCTATAATCCCATTCTTCTCTCTGGGGCTCTCAAAGCCCTTTGCCCATTTGGCTTTCACTTCCTCCCAGCTTCCCCCAGGACAGAGATGGATAATACAACTTTGATCCAGCTCCCTAGGCACCAGGAACTCCCCTACAATCATCACCAAACCACGATCTCTCTTTCACTAAGAGAACAGCGTGAAGGAAATTCCACAGCTCCCCCACCAAAACAGTGTCTGACTTCTCCATCAGGAAGTTCCTCCTAATATCTAACCTTCACCCTTTGTCCCGCTGATCCAGCCAACTCTTTTTGCTTTGGTCCTCACTGCCAACGACCACTCCCCACTCGGACACTTAGGAGTGGTTCAAGGTCTGTGGCCCTAGGCTCCGTTATTTGCCGTCTTCTTCACTGTGCGGTAAAGAGAGGGAACCCCAGCCCTTGGGTGGGGTTGGCTCAGAGCAACAACTGTGTGGGAACAGTCCTGCCTGCCTCTGAGGTCCACAGACCAAACACAACAACTCTGGACCAAAAGAAAAGCCATTTCCTGAGCCCCAGTCCCCAAGGGGCCGAGCTGGGAGGAGGGTCCATAAGCAACACCGGGGGCCACGTCAGACAGTCAGAATTCGGTGCCCAATCTACGTCAGGGGCCCGTCCCCACTCCTACCTCTGCTCTGGGAGCTGTGGCCACCCCCTCCCGCCCCCACCAGCCCCTCCAGCCACACCCCTTCCTCTCTCCTTCCTGCCCACCAGCCTGGATTTTTCCAAAACAGAGTACGACACAGCACACCATCCACAGACCTCTCTACACACCAGCCCTGCTAGAGGAAAACAACCATTCCGGCTGTGAGGCCTGGGCCCCGGGCCAGAGACAGGAAAACAGCTCGACAAACAGGCGCACCAGCACGGCACCAGGCTCAGGGCCGCAACCGTGCCGCCTCAAGAGCAGGTCTCCTGGCACGGGGCAGACCGCGTGGGGGCCCCCATGACTGAGCAGGGCATGAACCGATGACCCTGGGATCACCCATCCTGGGAGAGGCGTCCGGGAACTTTAAACATCAGGTTTTCCCTCCTTTGCCGTACATGGGCCATTCTGGAATCCGCTCACTTGCTGAGCCTTGCACGTGTTCCCAGGACTAGAGAAGCTAAACCCGAAGTCATGGGGTCCCTCTTCCCACATCCAGGCAGGACACAACCCTTTACCCACCTTGGCACAGAACAGACACACACGCTTTCATCCCAAATCAACAAACTTTCCTTCTTAAAGAAACCTCCCGTCCCAACTAAAGAGCCACTTGTTTCTTCCCCGGGACCAAGGTCATACCCACCATCGCGTCACAAAGTTCCTCATGATGTCTAACTTCACTCTCTTGCTGCAGCTTTCCCTGACAAGCTATGTCTGGCCCAGGCTGGGGCTGTGGGAAGCGGCAGCACCAGGACCTAGCTTGTAAGTGTGCCCATCATGCCCTGGCCAAGGGCCGGGAGAGCCGGTACCACTGAATCCAAGCCGCAGACCCAGGAAGGGGTGGGGAAGGCACTCGTCAATTCACGGAGCCCCTTCAAGCCTCTACCTCCTCATCTGAAAAATGGGACCAAGGGCGCCTGGGTGGCTTAGTCGCTTAAGCATCAACTTCAGCTCCAGTCATGATCTCACAGTTCGTGAGTTCAACCCCATATTGGGCTCTGTGCTGTCAGCATGGATACTGCTTTGGATCCTCTGTCTCCCTCTCTCTCTGCCCCTTGCTCACTCTCTCTCTTTCAAATAAATAAACATTAGAAAAAAAATGTTTAATGGGACCATAGCATCCACTGTAGCAGGGTATGTGAGGATCATAAAAATACCCAGCCCAGCTCCAGGCCCTTGGTCAAAATAATAGGAATACAAATGGCTACTATTTATTGAGCATATATTATATGCTCTGTGTGCACTGCTTTAGTTCGTCCTCAGCAGTAGGGACACACAAAACGTAATTTCTGATCCACATCCCAGTCCCCAAAATACCACCAACTTGGACAAGAGTTCCCCCCCGCCAGCGTGTGCACCCCATGCCCCTAGGACCCATGCATACCTTGAACAGAGCCTTCCCCCCTAATTTTAGAGGCATGCTCCCGCTCCTCCTGGACAAGTCGTGCAGCCCCAGGGACGCCTCCACCTCGCAGGGCTGCCCATGCAGGGCTGCCCCAGGGCAATGTGGCCGTGGCGGCCGCCTGCAGTGGCTGCCTCCCGCTGCCTTAGCGCCTCCCTCCGGGGCCCTCCCCACCACGGGTCAGGCAGCTGTCAGATGATAGGGCCTCACGCCATCAACAGCTCCCCTGTGCCAACCGCCAAAACCACTCCCTGTTCCTCTGAGGATCGGGGCGGGCGACGACGGGGGCCAGCACAGGGGCAAATCGTCAGACACAGGTCGGGGAGAAAGGGAAAGGCCTGACTGTGTGGGGCGTCTACCCTGGGCACAGGAGGACAAGCCCAGACACGAGCACTGCTCACAGCAGGGACCCAGGAGAGCCCCTTCTGTCCTTCCCCAGGCTCTTTTCCTTTAGGCAATTTGCCCATTGAGCTCCGCCAAAACTGCAGGGCCGGAAGAGCCCAGAGGGATCAACTGGCCCATCTTCCAGCTTCTTCCTCCAGAATTGATGGCATTGAAGCCACACGGAAGGTTGTGCCGTTTTCAAAGACCCCTTGCTCCAAAGAAGCAGAGCCAGCACTTCCTTGAGGCCTGACGACCCTCTGAGAGCCCAGGAGTCCTTCTTCACCTCTGTCCGTCATCCCTCTGCTGCAGTTCTGCTGGTGTCCTGCTCACTACCGAGCCAGACCTCCCAGCACGCCTCTGTGGCCTCCCTCCCCAGCCCGGAGCTCCGAGGTCTGGCAAAATGATGGGCAAACAAGCTCTGGAGCCCTGGATCCAGCCAAGCTGGGGGCCGAGGCCAAGGCTGAGGTCCAGTGCATAAGTACATGGGGACTGTTCACCATCCCTCCTCCTCCCTCCCTGCTCAGCCGTAGCGTTGAGAGACCCCTGCCTGTCCTTCTGGAAAGAAGGCAAGGGTTGCTCCCAACAAGGCAGGTAGCAGACAGCACCCAAACCTCCAATCCCCCCAGGGCACCACAAGCCCAGTCACACCCTTCCCTTCTCCATCTCCATACTTACCTCTTCCTCAAGGCTTTTCCGTGTGGTTCCACCCCGGAAAGCTCCTTCTCCCTGGAGGCGGAGAAAAAAGGCAGTCAGAGAGGGGAGTCAAAGAATGTAATCAAACGGCACCCTCGTTTTTCACCACCTGGCTTTGGCAGGGGTTGGGGGAGAGGGGGCTGGCAGAAGGGCCTCGGAGCGAACTTAGTCGTGTGTTTTAGCATTTCTTTGCCACTAAAGGCCCTTCAGAGCGACCCAACTCACTCATTTGCGTCTCACGACCATGCTTATGATTTTCCTCTTCCCACTTTGCAGGTAAGAAAACTGAGGCACAGGGGCGCCTGGGTGGCTTAGTCGGTTGAGCGTCCGACTTTCGCTTAGGTCATGATCTCACGGTTCGTGGGTTCGAGCCCCACGTCGGGCTCTGTGCTGACTGCCGGCTCGGAGCCTGGAGCCTGTTTCAGTCTGTGACTCCCTCTCTCTCTGAGCCTCCCCTGCTCACACTGTCTCTCTCTCTCTCTCTCCTAGAAATAAATAAAACATAAAAAAAGAAAAAAAAGAAAACTGAGGCACAGGCAGGCTCATGACTTGCCAGTGGTCACACAACTAGAAGCCTGAATGAAGGGGGCACCTGGGTGGCTCAGTCAGTTAAGCGTCCGACCCTTGGTTTCAGTTCAGGTCATCATCTCGTACTTTGTGAGTTCGAGCCCAGTATTGGGCTCTGTGCTGGTGGTGCAGAGCCTGCTTGGGATTCTCTCTTTCTCTGCCCCTCACCTGCACCTATTCTCCTGCTCGCTTGCTCTCTCAAAATAAATAAATAAACTTAAAAAAAAAAAAAGAAGAAGAAGAAAAAGAAGCTTGGATGAGGTAGGATCTGAACACAAGCCCTCCAACTGTCAGCCCATTATCACGTGCCGGCCATGGCCAGGAGGTCCCCCTCAGCTGCTAACCTCGGTTTCTGCACATCAGGGCCCACCCACTCCCTTCCCTTCCTCCTCTGTGCTGCCTTGAGGAAACTGGAAAATTGTCTGTCTTTCTGCTAAGTCAGAAAGTTCTGTTCGGAAACCTCTGCCCGGCTTTCTCACATTCTACATATTTAATAACGAAACCCACATTTAACCACTGGCCTCTCCCACTTGCCTAATTCCCTAGCAATCCATTTCCGAACACTCAAGTGATGTCAGGTGCCCCTCTCCCAACGTGACCCACAAGCTCGTCACTTCCCCCCAAGTCTCCCAGGTCTACTCCAGAAAGACATCCCCAAACACATCTGTTCACTTTCCCCCAAATCCACCTTTTGCTTTCCGGGCCCCCCACACAATGCCCAGCACCTGCCATCACTCACTCACCGTGTTGGCTACATTCTTTGGGGCATTCTCAGGGTTGATGGGCTGCAAAATACAGGGAGAAAACAGTGTGAGGCCTCAGGACAAACAGCCATGGGTTGGCTCTCTCCCCAGGGCTGGTGGCCATGATGGGCGGAGTGCCTCTTGAAGCAGGCCTGATGACGCCAACCCAAGGTTCAGACTTAACCTGGCTAGCCCCATGCTTGGGAGGTAGAGTTTGGAAAATGAAAAATAATCCTATTGGTACTAGAACCACCCAGCTTGACAAACCTCTCACCAATGCGTGTGACTCAGTTGTGGACCCCTCCAGAAAGGAGCCAGAGTCAAAGTCATGCTGGTTCCTACATTCCAGCCATCTTCACCTTGTCATTTATTCATGACAAGAACCCAGTGTGGTGGGTCCCATTATTACCTTTGAGCCCCACTTCACAGAAAAGGACAAGGTAAACGAGTAGCCCAAAGACATTGACTGCTACTGGCCACAACAAATTTGAACCCCATCTTGGGACTCTGTGCTTCATGATCTTTGTGTGAAACCCTCACAGTCCAGGATGAAGTTGGCCAGAATCTTAACTCTTCTGTGGGCTTTCACAGCCCCCCACCATTACCCTGGCTCCAAAGCTCTGCCCCGTCCAGACCTGTGCCTAGATCTCCTTGCTTATTCCCACATCCAGGCCTCTGCTCGTAAATTGCCGCCCCGCCCCCCCTCCCCCCCCCCCACCATCCATGCTCTTTTCCAACAAGCTCTCCTCCCCCGTAAGGCCCTTCCTGAACACCCAGTAAGGAGGACTCCCTCCCACCCTGGAACTCAATTAGCCTGCTCTCTGTGCTATGTCTCTCTGGTCCTTAGGGTGTAAGTAATCTCACCATGGGAATATGTCTTGGGAGTCTTAACCTACCTGCTTCCAAAAGACATTCAAAGCAGCATTTTTACCAACTCAGCTGCCGTATCCCTCATGCCGGGGACAGGGATGTATGTGTAACTGGCCACCAGTAAATGCCTGTGGACTGGTCCTGTCCCTCATGCCAGCACCAACCACCCTTTCCCTGCCGGGACATTTGTGTGTTTCCTACTAAAGGCATCTTGAAAATTGAACTCCTTGGACTCCCCCAAACAGGAGAGAAATATCCCATTCCAGATCCAGTTCCTGCCTACCACCTCTAGGGCTCTGTTTCCCACCCAGTAAAGTGGTTCCAGGGGTCCCTGAATCACACAGAAGGATGTGAGCATGACCGTGAAGGTTAGAAAGCAAGCAGTTGCCAAGATGAGCAGGGACCAGCTTAGGATAGTGTCTCCAAGCAGGAAACGCCTGCCCTAACCCCATTCCTGGTAGCTGCTCACCCCTCCCTGAGGATGACAGGGGAGAGGACAGAATGACCCTCTGAAAGGTCCTGGCGTCAGAGAGGAAAGCTGGGCACGGAGGAAGAAAGCCAGCAGAGATCAAGGTAGCAGTGCTCTTTCTGGAAATGGCCCAGTCTCCTTTTCCCCTATGGCCTGGAAGATGGGAGGCTGAGGCCAAAACTTCTTTTCAGGGGATGAAACTTCCTGAGTAGCTCAAGGCCAAGGCAATGTGGACGGTTGAGGGAGGACAGGGTCCAGGAAGAGAGTGAGAGACAGGGAGGCAAGTCAGCTAGCGCCTCCCGGTCCCCAGGTCAGCCTGCCTGGAGTCTGAGGACGGCTCTGGAGAAGTAAAGATGCCACATTCCAGCCCAGCCTCAGTCCTCACCCAGCTCCCTCTCAGACCTCACTCCCGGCCCATAGGCCACCAGGCAGGGGTGATCTGGAAATCTCCAGGGACCCCTATCCCAGACTCATCTCTAGGAGCTGCCTGCTAATTGGGGCCAGGTTCTCCCCTCAGCCTCCAACAACCACCAGCCCCAACCGCGGGAGTCCTTGGCAGTGGCGCCCTGACACCCCCCCGCCCCCCTCCAACTATCCCTTCTGGCTCTGCAATGCTCCTGTGGAGACTGTGGCTAGGCAGGAAGGCCCAGCAGCCTCCTCCCTGAGCTGCTCTGGCCTCCAGGAAAGGAGGAAAACTCCAGGAGGGCTGATCCCAGGGACCTTCTATGTGCAGAGTCTACACCGCAAAACTGAGATTGGAATCCAGATCTCCCAACTCCAAAGCCCTCACTCCTAACCAGCCTGCCTAGACAGGGGGTGCGGGGCGGGGGGGCGGGGACAGAAAGGACAGAAATGGGATTGGACGTAAAAGGTGGAGACAAAGTACATGCCCCAGGCCCATTACAGGCCCTTAAGAGCCCCTTGTCCTGCTCTGGGTAAAAACTCCTGAGAGGTCTGACTCTGGGCAGAATAGAATGTGAACTTGGGAGCGGGGGAGGGGGCGTCTCAGAATCCCCTAGAGGGCTGTGGACATACAGGTGGCCGGGCCATGCCCAGAGGGTCTAATCCAGTGGCCCTATGGTAGGACCCAAGGACATGCATTTCTCAAAGGTTTCTGGGCCCAGGGATGACATTTTGAATACCACAGGTTTAAGCTAACAGGGTTAGCAGCCAGGACCCCCTTCCTGACTCTCTCTGCCACTAACTTGAGACCTCAAGCAGGTCACTTCATCCTTGCTGCTCCTCAACAGGGCCGCAGAGCGCTATTTTGTGAGTACCAAATGAGACGGAGCACATTAAGCACTTAGAACAGGGCCTGGCACTTAGGAAGCTCTCCATAAATGTTAGCTGTTATTTATCATCTCCACCCTGCACACTCCCAAGGCTCCCCCGTACCCTGCCTTGACTCCCCCTGCTCCACCCCTCCCCAATCCGGCACGATGCAAACCAGGGAGATGGGTCAATATTAGAAACCACAGGCCTCAGCACCACAAGAGAAACTTCCCTCCTGGCCAGCAATCCTCTGAGCACCAGCCCCTCTGCCCCCACCCTTTCCCCGTGCCAGCTGGAGGACGGCCACAGGGCCAGCCATCAGATGCCTTCGACTTACTGGTCGAGATGCTTTCTGAGAAGATAAAAATTTCCAAAACCCCCTCCCGAACTCAACACCCAGTGTTTCCCTGCAGTGTTTGCTAACACAGCCCAGCGTGCACGCGGTGCTCCCCGCCCCTCTCTCTGGCGCCCGGACTGAAGGCCTGCTCCTCTGTTTCTGGGGCTTCTGGGACTGAAAAAGGCAAGGGACGGGGAACCCAAGGGCACAGTCTCCCTGAGGCTGCCCCTGCCCCAGGCCCCTGGTTGTGCTGTAGGGAAGCCCCCAACACCCCAAGCTGTGGGCCCTGAGCTGACAAACCCAGACCTCCAATGGCCAGAGAGACCCACAGTGCCTGGGCTGTCGGCCCACCTTCGGCCCGCGGACACACACCCACTCAAACACATACTTTCTCCCGGTTCCACGGTTTAGTTTTGTTCTTAGAACCCCTCACTCTCCAGGACACTATGTATTTTACTTGCTTATCTCATTTAGGGTCTTCCTTCCCCACTACAAGGTAAGTCCCCAGAGCCCCCGGGGCCTGGGACTGGGCCGGGCACACTGTGGGCCCTCAGCAAATATCAACCCAGTGGGTTAACCAAGAACAGCCCCTCACTGTCTTCCCTGGCCCCTGACCATGCTCCCCCCAGACAGTGAGGCTGGTGCCCCCGGACCTCCTGGAGCTGAGCTCTCTAACCTCCATCTTTGCTTGGATTGGGGTTGGAACCTTTCTACACACACACACACACACACACACACACACACACATACACCCCATCCTTGCACACCACTCCTCAGAACACCAACTCTGAGAAGGACCTCAGACACCATCCCCTCCCTCCCTGTTTCACAGATGGGGAAACTGAGGTGCAGAGAGGTAGGAGTCACCCAGCCTCTCACGGGGAGGTCCACGGCAATACTGGGGCCCGCACCCAGGTCTCTGGAGCCCACCGCTGAGCTCACCTGGCTGTCCCTCACTCCTGCAACCTGCAGGCAGCATTAGCAGGATGCCTCCCTGCGGGCTCTCCCCATCCTTCCCCCTGAGGCTCAGCTGCAGAAACAGGGAGGGAGCCCCCTCATCTAGCCCCACCCCTACCCAGTCCCAGCACAAAACCTAGATCCTGAGGACTCCAGGCTTCCCAAAGCTGAGGGCAGCCAGTTCGCAGCCCCACCAGGGGACTTCGGGAACCTTCCTTGCCCCCAGGAAGGACAACAACAAGCAGGTGGCAGGGTTTGGACCTGGTGCCACTTGATGGCCAAGCCTGACTCTTCACAGATCACCCTGCTCTAGGGTCCCAAACTCCGAAGTCGGCAGCGAGGCAAGGACGAGGGTGAGGTGCGTAGGGCAGAAAATGTCAGGAGGCATTCACTCTGAGGCTGCTCAACACGCACCTACACGCCCCGAGAGCAATATGCCTCCTCACATCTCCCCCCTGGATGCCTCACTCGCCTTCCCTCTCCCTGGCCCTCGCCCGGTGATGCCTCTTCATAACATACATAACACAATAACAACAATTGTTCATTGAGTGCTAATGATCTGGGCGTAGTATCAGGTTCTTGACTTTCACCATCATCAGTCTCATCACCGCCCCGTGAGGTCAGCAGGGACCCCATTTTGCAGCTGAGACAGAAGGCCCAGGAGATTCAGTAACTTGCCCAATGCTGCACAACAGGTAGGGAGGAGAGCTGGTATTCGAACTGGGTCCCCTCACCGTCCCAACGGTTCTAGCTCCTCCCCCAGGCAATGATCGTCACTCACTGAGAGTTCCTCTCAATCAACTGCCCTCCCATTGGGAACCCAGCTTTCTGTGACTTAACGACTAATTGTCTCGGACCCTCAGGAGGAAGAGCCTCCTTCCACGCACAGTCATAGGAAGAGGAGGAAACAGTCTGCAGCGGGAGACACTGAGATCAGACATCAGAGCGAACTTCCTGAATGTGAGGGGTTGTGAACCACAGGGCGGATAAGGGAAACTGCACATCCTTTCCTCGAGTTTTTTTTTCCCCCCAAAAATGACACACACGTCCCCTCCATGCACACATACCCACCCCTGACTGTGCGGGTCCGTGGGGCTGGGTCGCTGGGATAATGCCTAGGGGCTCGTGCAGTATATACTGGTGGCCTCAGGGAGGGTGGGCTGGGGAAAAAATGTATCTGTGGGCTGGTTGTGGAGGAAGGAAAAGGCAAAGCAAGGGCCAGTGGGGGGAGGCGGGTAGATGCCCAGGCCCAGGGCTGGGGGGAGGGGTCTGGCGCAGAATGCAGACTCAGCCTCCGGAGGAACATTCTGTCCAGAAATTCCTCACACCCTCCTCCCTTCCACCCCTTCAGCCCTCCCCACTCTTGCCCCCTGGGAGGCCTGGAATCTGGGTGGTTTTTCAGGCCAAAAAGACCCCATGACATCACATCTACTGCCTTGGCAACGTTCTGTGAGGTCACGGGCAGCACTGCCTATCTGGGGTGGGGGGAGCTGGTGGGAGCTGGCAGGTAGGGCCCGCGGGGGGCTGGGGGGGTCCTCAGCTGCCAGGATCCCCAGCGGGTTATTCCAGGCTTACTTGTTCCGTTCCAGAAATAGAACCCTAAGCAGATGAAGGGAGGAGCTGGGAGCAAAAAGGAAGAGGGGGCAGCGCCATTTCCGGGGCACTTAGAGGGGGCACAGCCGGGATGGCACCTTACAGACCCCACAGCCCCAGGGGTGGGCGCGGGACCCCATGCAGGGATAGGCCAGCCAGCTGCCGCAGAGGCTGCACAGTTAGCATCCTGAATTCCTTTCTGCAGATGCAGAAGCCGAGTGTCCGGGAAGCTGGCCGGCCCTGCGTGAGCTCAGGTCTTCACCTCAAAGCCTGTTGTTGGCCCCTCACCCTTCGTGTTAAATACCACCGTCCTGGGAAGGGGGAGCCACTGGGTTTGGGCATCAGCACTGGGTGCAGGGGGCTGGAGAGAGGGCACGGAACAAGCAGGGTTCTAGGCCCGGCCAGAGCAGGAGGGAGGCCGGCAGCCTGGTTCCCCATGAAGTGCTTGGGTGAAGTCACTCCAGGGGCGACATCCTCTCCTGGGCAGGCCTAGGCCACCAGAGAAAAAGAACAGGCTGGGTGTGATTAAATGGAATGTGATGCTTGATTTTCCCTGCACCCCCCAGGGAGGGGCCCAGGCAAGCCCACTCCTGTCCTCGGGCCGGCCTCAGTTCACCCCGAGGGACCCAGCGCCAGTGCACAGCTCCCAGCCAAGAGGGGGCAGCGGCAGGGGTGGGATGCGCTCACCCGGCTAGGCTGGAGGGGGAGTATCCTCCCCAACACCTCCTATCCCCCCAATCGACCCTAGAAGCTGCTCTCCCTCGGCCAGGCCACTGGGAGTCCGCTCTTCCCTTCATCCCTGCCCCTCTGGCCGCTCTTGTCCAAATCCTCTCTGCACCCACTGAGCACCTGCGCCCGCCTCTGGTGCACCCAGCCCTCCTCCCACTCCCTGCAGCCCCCTCACCACCCAGCCACACCCCACAGCTGGCAGCAGACTCTCAGATCCAGCCTTGGGTCACTTCCCCACTCAAGGACCCATAACGGCCCTACTGCTTGGCTCATCAAGTTCAAGTTCCCCTGCCCGGCTTGTGGGCTCCTCCCTCATCTGGCCCCTTCCTCCACACAGGCCAGGTTCGCTCTGCCTCCATTCCCACACTCAGCCAGTTCCACCAGCACGCCCAGCCAGGGACACCAACCAAAATGCGACAGGATTGTCTGCCCCCACTTTCCCCACCCCCCCTTCCCCCACCCAGCAAGGGCAGACTGGCCAAAAACATTTACCCTGGGTTTGCCCTGGCTCCCAACAGGCTCAGTAACCCACGCCAAGGCCCCACCCCCTCTCTGTTTCAGCTTTCTCTCCTCCTTCCTACCTCTCTTCCATTTGCTCAAATCTTAAACTGGACCTGGAACAGGAGACGGACTTCCTCAACTACCACAGCACAAACTGATTGCTTCCTTCCCTGGCTCCCAAGGCAACCTCTGGTCAGACCCCTGCCCCCAGGCGGGCACTAATTCGTTTCCATCTAATACTTCTCTCTCTCCCTCCCCTCCCCCGCTAAACATGGCGCCCGAGGGCCAGGCCCTACACCTAACTTTGGCCTCTCCCAGGAGAGATCCTGGGGGTAGTGGTCAGCATATTAAGTGGATGCCTTGACCTCCAGGAACCATGTACCTTCACAGCCCAGTACCTCCACCAGGCGCTCCCCAGAGTAAGGGTCTGCCACCAGCACCCACCTTACACCTAACAGGTGTCGGTGAGTATGGGTCCTGCAATAGACAGTGACTCTCCCAGGCGGCACCGCTGGGCCATTTTAGGTGTTAGAAAGCTCCTCTTTACATCCAAGTCTCCTCCTCTTTCTAAGAACCTCCACGTAGTAGGTTCTACTCTGGAGAGCAACAGAAAACAAGCTGTCCTTCCTCACGTTCTTACTGCCGTTCTGCACCCACTCCATATTCTCCCTCTCCAGACCACGCAGCCCTATTGCACAAATTGAGATTTTCAGCCTCCCTCACCATTCTGGGAATCTTCTTTGGAATGCAGTGCCCTGAGTTTGCTCTCTCCTTTAAAAACCAAGGCTATACAGGGCTCATCTCTCCTGACATTGCTCTGTGTTCTAGAATCTCCCAAGATGGTCACTCATGGCAGGCAGTGCTACAAGATGAAATTTCATCAAGAGACTGGTGTTCAAACGGAAGTGATCCCTAGCCACAGAGGGCAAGACAGAGGCGCCGGGGCTGAGGCTTCCGCGCACTTCTCTGGAACCGATTCACATCACATCCTTCTCTTCTTCCATGAGGCAGCACGGTGCCTCCTCGCTTCAGATCCGACCTTCAGGAAAGTCATCTGAAAATCACAGGGCCACCACCTCATGCCCGTGAGGCTGGGTGCTATCAAGAAAACAACATTAGTCACAAGAGTTAAAACATGGAGGAAGCTCAATGGCCACTGATGGAGAAATGGGCAAGCAAATTGTGACACACGTACAATGGAACGTTATTCAGCCTTGAAGAGGAAAGACATTCTGACACCACAACAGGGCCTTGAGGACATCCCGCTAAGCGAAACAAGCCAGTCACAAAAGGGCACATGTGATAGCATTCCACTTACATGAGTCACTTGGGTGGTCAAATTCACAGAGATACGAGATAGAATGTAGAACGGTGGCTTGCAGGGCGCTGGGGAAGGGAGGCGGGCATTCTGTTTAATGGGTGGAGTTTTGTTTTACAAGAGTTCTGGAGACGGGTGGGTGATGGTTGGAGGCGGCTGGCCTGCACTTAACACCACGGACTGCCCTCGAAAATGGTTAAGATGGTAAATTTTATACTCTGTGCGTCTTACCACAATAAAAAAAAAGTCAAAAAATATTTTTTCAGGGACTTACTGGACTAAATGGTGTTAAAGTCCTCTCATTCCTGTGGCTCCATGCCACCTAACCCCACCCACCTTCTAGATGGCCTGGCATCGTGGCAGAAAATAACTTTAAGCCCCAGTTTAAAACTGCACCTGGCACAAGGTGGGTGCTCAGGAAAGGTTTGTTGGTAGGATGGATGGACAGAAAGATGGAGGGACAGACCCTCCTCGAAATCTCAGATCCCTTGGCAAATAGGTTATGTAGGTAGGTTGGTGGTTGGCGCTGTTTAGAGAAAGAAATCCCAAAGCATGAAACTAATGAATGTAACATTGTGTGTCAACTTCACACCATATAAATGAAGGGAGAGGGGAGGGAGAGAGGGGAAGGGAAGGGAAGGGAAGGGAAGGGAAGGGAAGGGAAGGGAAGGGAAGGGAAGGGAAGGGAAAGGAAGGGAAGGGAAGGGAAGGGACCCCAGAAAAGTCCACCTGGTTGCATCAAGTGTTTCTATCAGCAGAAAGCATCTAGGGTATCCTGGGGAGAAAGCAGAACCAGGAATTGAAACCCCCACTCCAGGAGCACCTGGGGGCGTGGGGGCTCAGTCAGTTGGGCACCTGACTCTTGATTTCAGCTCATGTCATAATCTCGTGCTGCATGGGATCAAGCCCCAAGCTGCTGACAGCTTGGAGGCTGCTTGGGATTCTCTCTCCCTCTCTCTCTGTCACTCTGCTGCTCACATGTTCTCTCTCAAAATAAATAAACTTTAAAAAATAAAAAAATTAAACCATACTCCTGACCCAGCTCCCTCAACTGCTGTGTGACCAGGAACAAGTCACCTAGCCTTTCTGATTGTTCCTCTGCATAATGCACTCCTCCTGCCTAGCCAGGCTGGTGTCACACTTGCTCGGTAGTACCCAGACCTCCACACAACTCACTGTGCATTCCCCATGGCCCGATGGCAGGGGAAGGACTTCGAAAACCACAGGTGCCACTCAAGTGAATGACATTTGTCATTACTGATTGGTCAGGAGGGTGCACTGTGGTGCTGAATTACTAGGTTAAAATCCCAGCTCCCCCTTTTGAATAGCTCTGTGGCCTGATGTCTCAGTTCCTCGTCTGTAACACTGGCATAATCACAGCATCTCTCTTGCTGCGTTGTCATGAAGAATAAATGAGTTTATTTTTGTAAAGCTTTCAGAACAATATTTGGCAAGTAGAAAGTTCCGTATGAAGGTTACCACTGAAGAACTGCTCCAGTTGCCATGCTGGGCGAGTCAGCCTGGGATTCCCAGTGTCCCCGTTCACCTCCTCCCCCTCCCTCCACCCCCAGACTCTGCACCTGACCTCCAATCATTCCACAAGACCATTTTGCGCAACTGCCAGGGGGCTGGTCTGTGTGAGGAGAAGTATTGCGCACCCATCTTCCACCAGCCCAGGTCCCCTGGGTGCCAGGCTGCGTGTGCACGAGGGCTTACCCTCTGGCAGACTTTGGTGGCCACCCCACTTGGCTACCACCCTCGGGAAATTCCTTTTGACTCTTATTTTTCAGAAGCTGGGAAGAGCTGCTTCAGCAATTTCCAAGGATCAGGAGTGTCCGTGGCAAACAAGCCCTCTCCCCTCTTCATCCTGCCCCCACCGACAGACCCCACAGGAGGGAGGTGACCCCAGGACCCTTCTGCCCAAGGCCTTGGGCAACATCTGTTGAGTAAGATGAAAACACGGGTTGAAGATTAAGCCACTTTGCCCTGGCTGGCCTGGCACAGGCTGGAAAATGTGTCTGGCAGGCAGAAGCTGGGCAGAAATCCTGTGCCCAGGGTGAAGGCTCCCGGTCCCAGGGGGGTAGGGGGAAGATCTCAGCAGGACGGGTGAGGCCAGAGGGAGAGCTGGGGCCCAACTGAGACACGGAGAAAACACCACGGACAGACGCACACGGTGTGAGGCACGAAGGAAGGGGGCAGGGAGGCCAGAGACCAGCTCGGCCGAGGCTGAAGGAGAGGCAGCAAATGCAAAAGGAAGGAAAAAATATATCCCGCCCTTTCCTCCCTCTTGTGAACCTGTTCAAAGCACTTGCCTCGCCTGCCTTGAGGAAACAGGTGCTGAGTGCTCTCCGGGGGAGGCCAAACTTTCTCCCTGCTTTCCCTTGGGCCACTTTCCCACTCCCTGGGGACAGCAGGAGAGAGTCCGGCGGGAGCTCAGCCCCCCCAATAGACCCCCGCCCATCAGCAAGCCAGGGAATAGGAGCGGCAGCAGCCCTGCTTATTGAACACCTAATCTGCACCAGGCATCCGGCAGGAGCTTTCCTCCTAGCCACTTGGTGAACACGTAGTGAGCACCTACTATGTGCTGGACGGAGTGGATACAGCCCTGGACACAACAGATAAGAATCCCTTGTCGACACAGAGCTCACATGCTGGTATGAGAGGGGCCTGTAAGACGCACAGTGTACCAGCCGGCAATACGTGGAGGGACACAGAAAGCAGGGAGGGGAGACAGGGTTGCTGGGGGAAGGGAAGTCTCACACTTGCGGGCAGATCTGAGGGAAGGAAAGAGCCTTGCAGGCTCTAGAGCCCTGAAGCAGCAGCATGCCTGTGTGTTCAAGGAGCGGCAAGAAGACAAGGTATCTGGAGCAGTGTCGGTGAAGGAGAGAGCTTCCAGAAGGAGGTGAGGGCAGAGAGGAAACCCATCATGTAGGCCACGTACAGGCCAATGCTGGACTTGTTCACAAATCAAGTGGGCAGCCACCGGAGGGCCCTGAATCCAGATGAATTACAAACATGCATTTGCTGCTTTTATTCTCCTAACAACCTTACACGGTGGCTGCTCTTACCAAATCTGAATGTGCAGAAGGGAAACTGAGGTCTGGAGAGGTTAAGCAGTGTGCCCAAGATCACATACCACAGACTAGGGAGCCAGGATCCAAAGGGGGGTAGTCTCACCCCTGGCTCTTAACCAGTGCTGGGGGGGGATATGTTCTGACTCAGGTGGGGGCCCTCTGCGAGCACAATCTGGTGTCACAGCGGCTCCACCACCAGGTGGCTGACCCAACCTCCAGGAAGGGCAGAGCCCCCTGCACAGGCAGAGCACATCCCCCCGACGACGGGAAGACTCCCCAGCCCCGCTCAGGTAGGCGTTCCTTCTGGCATCTGCCGTCCTTCCAGCTGGAATGCCAACCTCTTCCCTTGTGTCCCAACCCCTGACCCCTTCCTCACATAAACAAAGCTCACAAGACTCCAAATGGCCAGGAATCTGGCTTCTGCCCCAAGATCCCTAAAGCCCAGACCCCCTAGCTGTCCTAGACCAGCCAAGGACATTCTGTTCTCAGAGGCGAGGTGGTGGCAGTTGGGTTGAAATGATGAGAGTTATGCTCCTCCTCCCCGCTCCGGCCCGCCACGGTGACCCTCAGCAATCCCAGACTGCTCGCTGGTGGCTGCAGACCAGGCCTGCACTCTGGCCTCCTCACTACCACCACTGCCCCCCACCCCACAGCACCTCACCCCTGCTGTTGTCAGATGACCTGCGACTGGGCTCTGCGCGAATAACACTTCACATCTGGAGCAGCACAGCTGGGCAGAGCTGAGGCCCAGGAGGGCCTGAGCCAGGGGAGACCAGAGGGGAGGGGGCGGCCACTGCAGAGAAGGGAAACAGCTTGGCAGGGCCTGGGCCTGGGGTCCAGAGGGTGGGGGTGCGACCGAGGGTCCGAGGTGTCTGAGACACAAGCGCTTCTACAAACTTGATTTCATTCCATCAGTGACCTGCAGTGGAGGGGACACTTAGCACTGAGAAGGCCTTAGGAGCATCTCGTCGACAGAAAGGGAAACTGGGGTCTGGAAGGAGGGAGGGACTGGTCCACTGTCACTCGGCAAATGAGAATTAGAGGGAAAGAAGAGACCAGGTGGCCTGACTAAGATTCCAGTATCCAGGGTGAGTGAGTTTTCCAATACCCGGGACAGCCTGAGCCTGAAGGACACCCCTGCTCCCTCCCCGGGGCCCCCGCCCTCACCAGAGTCACCACAGGCTCCTCTGCACCAGCAAATCTGACTGTGCCCACCAGGGCCCTCCGTGACACACCCCACGTCCACGTGCATGTACCTGTAGGGTGCAGACCCCTCCCCTCCAGCCTCCAGGGCCCTGCCTGCCTCCAGCACGGGGCGGGGGAGCAGCGGCCCTTCTCGGGGTGAAGAGGCACTGAGAGGGCAGGGAGGAAAAGTTCCCAGTGTTCCAAATCAGCCCAGCTGGGATCAGTCTGGAACGGGCCCCTCTCCACAGCCCACAACTCATATGAGTCCTGCCCCATCCATACTTTTCTGGAAGCCTGATGGGGGAGGGAAGGGTGGGAGACAGGGGGACAGGGCAGAAAAGCAGTCAGCCCAGGAGCATGGAGGTAGAACAGGCCACCTGAACGTGAACACCTGTCCAAGCAGGTGATCTCCGTGGATCATGCCTCCCATCCCCCTTCCTCCAGCCGAAGGGTACCTGAGCCCTGACCAGGCAGGTGGAAGGTGATGCCACTCCCTGGTCCTAGAGGCCCCAGAACAACAGGCACCTGGCCAGGCTGGAGAGGCATGCAAGATGCCCTTTTATGGGTTTTTCCAAGGACTTAAGTCTCAAATTGAAATGAGAGGCCCTGCATCTCATCAGAAGGGGCCTCATGACTCATTTCCTCCCAGTCCAGCTTTGGCCTCAGGAAGTGTCCCCCTCCTCCTCCTCCCCCAATTGCCCAGCACCCTCGGGGGCTAGCAGCATGCTTAGGTCTAAAGTTGGCTATAACCAAGGAGCTGAGGGGAGAGGAGGTGAGACCAGCAGGGTAGGGAAGGGACTGTCACTCACCACCAGTTCATGGTTGGATGGAGGAATGCAGGGGGCCGCCACCTGTGGGAGGCACAGAGAAAGGGCAAGGTTAGCATCTTTCATCCCCATAGAAAACCAGGGCTTCCTCAGATCATTCCATGGCCCCACCTCCACGCTAGACACCCCTTCCCTCAAC